AAATTTTATAGACTCTAACCTCTATACACACCAACTAGTAGTGACTGAGTGACTGCACTGTTCCCATTTAATTCAGACCAATAAACCAATACACTGTTAGAAAAATGACCGTTAACGGCATTACCGGCGTTTCAGTGCCCGGTCAGCACGTGAAAAAAACACCTTTTCACCGTTTTTATTCCAATTTAACACCAGAAATCCGTAAAACATCTGATAAAAACGGCGTAACAGTTAATTTTTATGGGGCAACCGGCCACTAGGATGCCGGTGTGACTGTTTTTTCACCGTTTTTTCTAACAGTGTAATAAACAAACTGAACAATAACCAAACAAACCTCAAACGACTTGAAATGAGACTTATGAGAAAAGCTAACACTGTTTGAAATAAACATGTGCACAATTCAAATATTTTATATCCATTCACTGCATTTAATTATTTTATATATAGTTATGAGAAAAGCTAACACTGTTTGAAATAAACATGTGCACAATTCAAACATTTTATTTGCATTCACTGCATTTAATTATTCTATATATAGTTTTATAATAGTAATTTTTTTGATTCTAGTAATAAATTCACATATTTAAAAGATTTTAATTAGAATACTCATATAAAGGTGGAAAATCTTTCTAATTGCCGAAATGGTCAATATAATCTCAATCGGTGGGGCAGAACCGATTGAGCAGTTTTGAGGCAAAATAAATGAGTAATGGAGGCACATAAAGAAGAAAGTTTATTTTCATAGAGGTTAGCATAGCATACCATTTGGAATACTAGTGTTCTGAATACAATATCTGGAAAATGGTGGCCATTAGCTGCAACACACTGCTGGAGAGGAGGGAGTAACTGTGACAGTAACTCTCAGAGGAGGGAGTAACTGTGACAGTGAATTCTGATTGCTATGCTGCAATGTTGCAAAATTTCTTGCAGCCCAGGATGGAAAACATATTTGAAAATGAAGCATTGGGAGACGTGTGGTTCCAGAAGGGTGGGGCTACAGCTCACACAGCCCGAATGTCTCTCAATGTTTTGAAACGCATATTTCCTGAAGGGTGATTCGTCAGCAGTTTCGTCTCTGAGGGATGATTTACAGTGGCCTGCAAGGTCACCTGATTTGAGAATTTGTGATTTCTTTCTTTGAGGACATCTAAAAGAAAGGGTGTTCAGAAGTTGCCCTCACACCCTACCATAGCATAGCAGAGGTTATGCCATACCTCGCCATATGTGTGAACGTGCTGTAGGAAACTTCCAAGAACTACTCCAACAGTGTGATGCGGCTAACAGACACCACCTTCCTGATATTGTTTTCAAAACATAAGTATTTTAAATGGTATGTTATGCTAATCTAAAGGAAAATAAACTTTCTTCTTTATGTACCTCCATTACTCATTTATTTTGCCTCAAAACTGCTCAATCGGTTCTGCCCCACCCTGTATAAGCTAGCTAACACATTTAAATTGTATATTGTAATTAATATATAACAAATAGTCAAATAGTTGGAGACTACCTATAGCCTTATAAGAATTAGCTAAGCTGCTAGCTAGCTATGTACAATGTATTGCAACATTTGATGCCTCTGTACTAAAAACATAGGAAACTAACTAATTCATAGGAAACTAATAGACACTAAAGGCAACAACTTTATATACCAATTTGTCATTCATAGTACATTTGTACTAAACCATGAATAACAATAACTTAAAATAAATTAATGACTGCCACTCAATATATTTAAATATATATAAAAAATCAAAAATCAATAAAATCAAAAAATCATTATTTTTTATAAAAAAAAGCAAATGATTTCATTTTGATTTTATCATTGCCAACCCTGTTGCCAAGTAGATAGATACTATGCCTGTATTACCCCAAATCTCCACTTTTATCCTAGAAACATGACAAGATCATAATCATTTGTCTTTACTTTAGAAGCAACTGAACATGTGAAAATGTATTGTTTGCTTTTTGTCACCCAAATCTGCAATTTTATCCTTAGAAACAGGACAAGATCATAATCATTTGTCTATACTTTAGAAGCAACTGAACATGTGATAATGTATTGTTCACTTATTGTTGAAGGCACTTAGAATGCCACCATGCTTTCATACCATTTTTAGAGCTGTGAGATTCCCACTATATTAATTACCATAAAATGGGGTAAAAAAACTTTGACCACTTTTTTTCAAAACAATGCCATTTTTTTACTAGATAAGTTAAACTTAAATTGAAACATGCAAAATACAGGTCTATACTCTAGCTTTACTCAAATCTTTCTATTGTGTTACGTAGCCTCAGTATTAGGCCTTTGATGGCCATTGACAAAATTTTTCTATGTCAAATCGTTTTTGAGTTTTGGGAGTTTTTGTTAAAAAAACGAAAAGTGGTCAAAGTTACCCCGCCGTTCAAAGTAACCCCATTTTACGGTACCTCTAACTGTCAATAGGACTGCACAATTGGGCCATAAAGTTCCAAATAAATACATTGAAAATTGGTCACTTTGGAGCTTTGATATTTCATTCATAAGTAGGAAAATTTCAATCTAGGTGTCCTATAAGCAGCCAAAAGTATCATGGATACCAACATTCTCATATTGATATTAATTAAAATTAAGAGGATGTGTAATAATTAAAAAAATGAATTCATTCTAAAAAAAATCTCTGGTTTGCCACTATGCTGCAGAATTATGATATTATCCCCTGCTGACATAGCACCAACCTAATATTCAGGAGGCAATATTTAACCGTGTCAAGCCACAGATTTTTTAGAATCCATGACTTTTTATTTTGCTCTTGTAGGTACTCAAAATTTACGCCAATGACTTGTTACTCTTGTACAGGTATGGAATATATCTACTTGGCAAACTGCAACTTGATTTTTTGAGCCATGGTTTTATGGGTTTGCAAGCTGCAATTCCATTTCTTCAAGCCATGAATTCCATATCTTGGCCATGAAAAGCCATTTACAAGCCACTAACTTTTTATTTACAAAGTCCCATGCATGTGTTACCCCACCAGCCCACATCTCTAATTTTACCATAAAAACAGTCACTAAGATTTGTCGTCACTTAAGCGGCAATTGAACAAATGATAATGTACTCTGACTGCTCTGACGTGACTGCCACTATGCAATGTTCAAGGAAATGTTTTGAGTTGACTCAAGCATGGAAAACATCTACCCTTAGGGCCACAAGTAGAACTTTCCTGCCATTTCCAGAACTGCATGATTTCTGTCAGATGAATTTACCTACCTCCTACCCAATTGTTAACAAAAGTGCACAGTCCATCCAGCCTCTTCCCAAGACCCAAAATAACATGCAAAACGTAATAACATCAACAAGTCAACCCAGGACTGGAATTTTTTACTTTCTGAAATCTCACGGCTCCAACGTGACAAAATTTTAATACAATTGGAATCTTGCAGGAGGAGTGAGTGACCATAGTGACAAACTAGAGATTTTTTAGAATCAGTTCATTTTTAACTTCCCATTTAGGGTAAATGCGGTATATTCCGACACATTAAGGACGCATCAAGAAATGAAAAACTATAAAAAAAAACGTATGCGTTACGTAAGTTCTGTTGCCTTCACATGACTATCACAGACGTATTTAAAAGTCTCAAACCATAATATTCTTCCTATAAAAACAGTTATTCACTATTTGATAGAGCCATGTCAACTGTCAAATTTGACACATTTTTCGATGATCTCACCACGTGGCATGCATTGTCTCTCTTTGGATCTCAATATTTTCCCACTAGATGGCCAAGACCTAGCTAGTGTTTTTGCAGTATTTCGACACGCAAATGTATGACGTCACCATTTCAACCATCAATGAACGCATGGAACTAAAACAAAGCTTAATATAAAGGAAAAGCTGGACTCTGGAGAGGTGACGGAATTACCTACGATGTCGGAATATACCGCGTTTACCCTACTTAAGATTTAAACCAATTCTTATGTATGATAAGGCTGGTATCCAGGATACTCTACTGGTCTACTTATGGGACTCAAAAATGAACTCAAGGTTGAGTCTAAAAACTCTCTGCTTTGCCACTATAAGTCTGGAGCATTGAAGTAGGTAGCTATATCTACTGGGGTTTGTGTTTTGTGGAAGTTGAAAATTTTATGAAACATATTTGCGAAGTGCAAACCGCGATTTTTTCAATCAAATAAAAGATTATGACATTAGAGCTGCAAAATTTCATACCTAACCTACATCATAGTGGCAAACCAGAGATTTTTTAGAATCAGTTCATTTTTAATTTCCTCATTTACCCAAGATTTAAACCAATTTCTTATGTAAGATAATGCTGGTATCCAGGATACTTTACTGGTCTACTTATAGGACTCAAAAATGAACTTGAGAAAGAGTCTAAAAAACTCTCTGCTTTGCCACTAATAACCCACTATGAACCTACTAAACCTAGAGCCACAATATTTCAGAAAAAAAAGGACTTTTCCAGCCCTGCTCCTGTATAGCTAGGTATGTTACAGGCTTACAGCTGGTATCCATGATAATTAAGACTGGTCAATTTACTTAAAAGTTATAGGCCTGGGCTAGGCCTCAAAATCGAGTTTGAGGATGAGTCTAAAAAAAAGTCTCTGCTTTGACACCATGATTATTAATTATTATCATTCAATATAATATAACAGCCAATGTAGATTGAAAATTAAAAAAATCATAAATTAATGTTAATCAAGCCAGATAGGGCGTGACAGAACATGATATGAAAAAGAACATAGGTAGCTAATCCTCCTCATTAAAAGCCCGGCCCCAAAGGGCACGTTTTTAGACGATAACAAGATATAATCCGTATCACATTGAAGAAATCACTGAAATATAGAAAAAACAATGTATATCACAGTATAAAAACATAAAACGTTTATTTTTACCTTGTTCTTATATGAACCAATGCCGACATTGCTGCACAGTTTGTCCAACTCAAAGGAACAAGATGGCGGACCTGCAAGAGGAGAACACAGATGTGAAGCCATCACTCACCTATCACGTTTGTTTTCCTTAATATCCACCTCAGACATTTTACGACGAATATATTGTAGGACAGTTAATATGCTACCATATAAAAAAATTCTAGCCCAAAACTAAAATCTTACAGAGAAGTAAACACCGTAATGCCAGACACCGTTGACGCTTGACGTCAGATCAGTGATGTTGCCAGTTACTGCTTAGTGCTTCCAGGTATGCGTTTTCATTTCGTTTTTGTTGACGTGATGGAGGTGATGAAAAAGCCGCAATTATCCGTTTCTTTTGAGTTTGCCCAAATTTGTTATTTTGTACTACAGCTTCTCGATAATTTCATAAAGACAATCCAAATAATACGTCGTTAAGCAATGGTACCAGATTAAAGCCTAACGCTCAGTCAACCTAACATAGTTTAGATTAACTTCATGTGCTAATGTATCTCAAGTTTCGTAACTCATATACTGAAGATATGGCACCATATAATGATACTTTTGGGGCCATTTTTGGCACAATTTTTGATCTCATTTCGATAGTGTTTATCATTAGTTTTTATTAGATAGTGTTTTTAGGTATTTAGTTAAGTTTCACTAGTTTTAGTTTAGTTTCATTATTTATTTGGGTTAGTTCATAGTTATTATTTAGTTTAATTTCATTATGATTAGATATTTTTTATCGTTATATTTTGAAACTGAACAAACTGGGAAAATTCCGACCGCACTCACTAGTCACTACTGGATGATAGGATGAGAAGATGATTAGAGAGATGATGATTAGATGATTAGAGGATGGGATGAGAAGATGCGTCCTGTATTTCATTATGATATATTTTCAATTCCATATGGCGTAATCGGATTAATTGAATCTGATTAAACTGCCGGTCCATCATCTGGAGCAAAGTACAGATTAGAGACTGGCAATAGCTGTACATCTTTTCTACCTCTTTCAAGCAGGTTTCATTGAAGACCAGAGAATTTATTTTATTCGCAATTTTCTTATTAGTTTTTTCAATATATCGAACAATATTTTTAGTTTGAACTGGCAAATCGAAAATCAGGTTA